CCACAAAAAAATGCCAACGGCATGTCACTTGCATTGCACCTTTTTGGGGTGGTTTTCGGAACGTTCTCCTCATATTTTTGTTTTGTTTGTTTGCAGTTTCAGAAACACAAGTGTGCGGCTTAGAAATTACTTGAACACATTGTACGACTCCTTCCGCTTCCTTACAGTGTAGACGTACGATGTTCATACTGCTTCGTCAAGCTGACTACAAGTACACCTCGCTCAAATTTGTCAACAATTTAGACCAATAGACATCATTGGTTCATTTTCTTAGGACCAAAATATGCACACACAAAAAAAAAAAAAAACCCTGAGATACTTTCACTGCGAGGCTGCCACGTGAACTCATAGCGGCCTGGTGTCGTTAAATTTGCTGCCGCCATCTAGTGGTGGAGTGTCTGAAGTTCACGCTGAAGTCAAATTTGTGCTCCTAAGAATGAAAAAGTGGTACTCATAAATCAAGGCAGCACTGTACTTTATCGCGTTTTATGGCAGACTTGACAGTGTGGAATGTGCAGTGCACGCTCAGTAGCTTTGAGCAACACGCTTCTCGCCTCAGCTCGACCGGGCCTGCCGGCACATGCGAGTGTGACGCAGTCGCGTTGTTGTGTTGCACCATGTGCTGTTGTTGCATAAGGTTACTGACTCACCGCCTGAACTGCTTGAGGAAAATACCAATGTTCATACTCCTCTTGGCGCTGAGAATGGACACCTAAAGAAAAGAAGACGCAAACTTTTGACAGGCGTAAAATGGCAGTTTGGTGACGAAGTGCTGCCCCAACGAGGGAAAATGCATCCACAAGATCGCCCCCTCAAAACAGGCTAATTTCAACAAGAGTCTCAAAACAGAATACAAAAGTACGTTCAATGCTTGAGGTACTTTCACACGTCAGACATGTCACGAGACACGAGAAATTGTGAAAAAAAATGCCCCATTTGACACGACATCAGAGAGCTCTCTCATGCATGGCAGCACCGGGCAACCTTCCTTGAGCAAACACACACCGTGTGAAAAAAAAGATCACACAGCTGAACCATGACGTCGTGGCGTGTTTACCTTTATTTTTGTGTGCCGTGCGCACACAGTGCTCTGACACTTTTGACAGCCTCGGAGCAGTGGTGGAGCCCTTGCAGCTGGGCTTTACACCTTGCCTGATTATTATTTCTGCTGAGTGTTTGCTGTCAACTTGCTTCAGCTACACTTCAATTCTGTTTATTGCAACGGAGCTGTTACATAAGTTGGCCTACAGTGAACCCGATTCATGGCGGGGCCACTGGCCACATTGCAGACACACAAAAAACCCCCCCCAAAAAAAAACAAAAAGTGAAATGAGAACAAAATGTCCCACATGCTTTAAACCTTTGATACATATTTGAACACACTAAAAATAATGTAAACAGTAAGTTAGGTGTCGTTAAGAGGCGGGGCCTGGCGGGGTGACTGTGTGACATCAGCGAGCGTAAATGTATGTGTCTGGGCGTGAGCTGTGGTCGACAGCAGCTCCTGTTTGAGCGTGATCATTGTGTTGGGTGCGTTTTAGTCTTCCAGCATTCAATAATTAGTCGAAATTTGCATCGGTGACTGTAGCTCTCCTTTCCCACAAGCAAAGGCATTACAGAAATCAAGCAAAGTGGTGCATTGACTTATGAGTTTAGTCATTCAGTGTCTATGCTTGCAATTCAAAACACTCACATCTGAAATCAACTTTGCCCAGTGAAATGAATGGAAATGCTGTTAATCCGTTCCAGCCCAATGGGGGACCGGGAAGGGAGCGGAGGGTGTGAATTAATACTTTTTTGCATTCCATTTTGTTTCCAGCCCTTGTCGTAAGTCAAGGCAGCAATGTGCATAGATTGTAAAAGTCTATTCAAAAAAATCACTAAATGCAGTGATAAACCATAGTGACAAGTAGATAAGTGTCATAAAAATGCTACTCACCACTTCCGCCCCAGAGGCAGCACCCGGCGGGGTCCTGGCACCGTGGCGGCCCAGGGTGGCCAGCTGTTGCTGCTGCTGGTTCTTTCGTTGGGCCCGCTTATGACTGAACAGCTCCTCCATGTGTTCCGTGTCCAGCTCGTAGTCGCCGTCCGTTGCGTCCTCCGTCCAGATGTTGCGCTTGCCCATCACTGTGTGCTTGGGGATGGTCTCCCAGTTGAAGTTGCGCATCCTGGAGCGCCGACGCTCCAGTTTCAAGCCGCTCTGGCCGGGGGCCGGCGGCGGTGGCGGCGGCGGAGGGGGGGGCGGCAGTAAAGGCGGCGGGGGAGGAGGTGGCGGCGGGGGATCACCAGCTTCCATCGTGATTGGGATTCAGCAGCAACGTGTTGGTGTTCTCAGCTGCGCATGCCGGCTGACAAGAAGCCCGCCAGCAGCAGCACCAGGCTTTTTGTTTTCATCGGACTTGGGTGCAACAGGTGTGCCCTCAATGACAGGAAGAGTGATGCATTCTTTCTAGGGGAATAAAAGGGTGTGTGGAGGGGTGTTACAACAGATTTATTACTTCAAAGACACACAATTATATCATATAGTTGGCTACCAGAATAATCTGGTTAATATTTCATTCTAGTAGTACTTTACACTAAGTTAATGGTACTTTAAACTATTTGTAATCATTAATAAGAAGTATGACGTCGCAGACCATATCGTAGTTGCGTTTGTTCTCAGAGGACCATCATGATTGTGAATGATGGGCTGAGCATAATATTACATGTCATCAATGACAAGATTTGAAATCAGCAGTCAAGGAAAATAAATTGCTCAATTATTGTCCAATTTATTTTAAAAAGGGTTGTTGAAAGTGAAGACAGCAGAGCAACCAAGAGCTACAGTGGGCTAACTCCACTGCTAACTTTGTCATTCGCGGCAGAGTGATCCCAAGTTTTGTTTTTTTTTTTTGATTGCCGTCCAATGGCTGCCACATCAGGTTACATGCAACAGTGGTGCAAGTCCAAACATCCATCAAATCTATCAATATTTCATGAAAGGTGATGCACAAAAAAAAAAAAACCCCCACATATAAACACCTAGAATGCACTTGTACCCCACCTTCCAAAAATGTTGCGTGTATTAATAGACTGCCCCCTACCTGCCGAAATTGGAACTAAAAATAGATTTTTAGCTTTTCTCATCACACTTCCATATTTAACTTAAAAATGACAAATTTGAAGCAAGCCCACTCTTCTTCTCAGTGGCTCAATTTCGATTTTAGCCAGAAACATGAGGCAGGCAACCATGGTTTGTCTTAGCGAGCCATCAAAGGTTGCAGAAAAAAAAGACAAACGTGGCCCATTTTAATATGTGATGAACGCAAATTCTTCCGCATTGTCGTCATTATTTCGCACAAAAGACGTACACAGCAACATGTTGGCTCGCTATTCGGCATGAACCACCGCCACCATTTCCCTCACAGCAGCTGTAAGTATATTAACAACCTGAACAAAAAAATTATTTCCAGAGGGTAATGTGTGTGCATGTCATGTTGCTATAAACAGCAATTTTTTTTACCAAATACTTCAATGACTGCACATATTTATTTTTTTCTGGTATCTGCACATTTTAAGGTGTTGTTTTGATTGTACCAAAGTCAAGCCAATGCTAGCTCGCACTTAAAAAGAGTTACTGTGGGCTTAATGTGATCTTTCTTCTCAGACAAGCTGTCCGTTCATAGAGGTAAACCCAGTCTTTTCTTCTCAGTTTTCTTCTATTAATGTATTGGACGCATATATCTGTACTTCTACTTCAGAGTACAGGGTGTGAAAATGTTTGCTCCCTCAGTTTTTGGCAACCGTATGCATTGTGTCTTTAGGACGTGACCTCAGAGATATCATCAATAAAGAAACAAGGGGCAACCATGTGACAAAATCCAATAGCAGACCACGGAAGTGACTCAACAAGCAATTTCATCAATCGAGTCGTAAAGCAGAAACTCACCTTTGCTTTTGTCCCTTAAAAAGATGTCCCACGTCCTAGTTTTCCATTCCAGCTTGGCTCCTCTCGTGCTGAAACTTGAAAGAGTGTTGCAATTCCACTTCCCTCGAAAGGAGGAGGACACACCCATGGAGAGGAGGCGGCGGAGGGAGCGTGCGCTCACCTTCCCGGGAAGGAGCGCCTCTGGGATCCCTGCTGGACCTCCCTTACTTGTTAGGCAAGTGGTTGGACTGTGAGCTCTGCTGGATTTATGGACTCAAGCAACGTGATGAGGTGCGCTTGAAAGATAGAGATTAATATTGATTTGTTTTCAAGGCGTGCGCGCACATATACACACACACACACACACACACACACACACACACACACACACACACACGCACACACACTCTTAGTGATTGAAAAGCAACTCTTTCATCTACGGATGAGTATTCAAACAGGGAGACAGTGAAGATGGGATCTTTGGGTAATCATCCACCTCAATGCAAATGAGCTGCTCGTTTACAATCACTTCTTGGGGGACAAGTTCAAGATTTGCCCTGATCTTAAAGTCTGCAGAAAGACTCATCATAGAGATTTGAACAATTCAATTCTGATAAACCCAATTAAAAAAAAAAAAAAACGAGTCATGCCTACTATAGTTAAATGTTAATTAATAGTGTAAACGACTGTAATTAATAAAAGCATGCTCTCCATTCGCAATCACAAGCGGTCGAGTAAAAAATGACATTTTATCACAAGGATCCCCAGAACAAATACGATCCAAACGCGGCTGTCAGCGTCATCAAGATGACGTCACAGCAATCCCATCGGACGCTTTTCACAACTTTCACTTTGAGGAACTGCCATAAAAACGTGTTTCCCAAAAGCCGCTGAGGCAAACCAAGGCACATATTTCGAGAAAAATCTCTTGACACACACCAAACAAAAATGCCCCGAAAAGTGTCTAAAAGTAGATACCCGCAGCTGGAAAGTGTCAATGTATACTGTACAAAACAACAGTCAACCCTGCATGCGATATCACACTGCGTAGATAATAAACATGCACATCGACTTCATATTAAATGGAACAAAATCATCCAGCAGAGCTTTATTTGCGAGTGCACCACAACAAGGACAACGACGTGAAAATACAACGCGCTTGCTTGCATACGGTAGACAACACAGCAGAAACACAACCGAAAGGAGAATGGACTCTTTGACAACACATTCGCTCAAAATACTGACCAATGACCACTGTTCATTTTCGGTCGAAGCATTTAATGAATCGGAACCTCAAATGCATTGTCAAAAACCTGTAAACAGCCCGGTTGTCACGGTGCTGAATTTAGCTCAGCGGGTACCCAAAGCAGGAGTTGAAAGATTGTACACTAGCCGAGAGAGATTGACTCAATATATACATAAAATTATATACACGTTCCGTCTCATCTTGTAAAACGACAATTGAGGCAGCTCTATCACAAAGCGAACAGAAATTATAAAGCGGTTATTGCGTGTATACGTTTCTGCCTGTGAAAACGCTTCGGAGCGCGGCGTGGAGACGTTAATTGCGACCTTGCAAAAGTTGAGGCATTAAGAGTCCCGCGATGGTGATTCGTCAAACATGCTCTGCCCAAATATAATGATGAAGACTTACAAATTGCAAAATTCGGTGACGTTCGTTTTTCTACGACACCTAGTTCACGTTCCGTGGCAATAGAACAAACTCTCTGGAAATTTGTTTTGGAAGGAACACCGGATATGTCCGAAATTGACACAAAATGGCCGCTTTGAACCACAATCGGAATAAATTAAAAGTTTGGCTGCCCAGACATAATTAGCGAAACTTGAATTTCTCATAACTTCGTGTCATCCTTCTGTCCAAAATACATCAAATTTTGGAGCAATTGGACAAACGTTTGTCGAGAAAGGACCCCTGAAAATGACCCCAAAAAGGCAGACTTTCGATGCCTTTTCAGGCCTTGGTTCTTCAGATGAAATTAATAACGAAGAATCAAAGCAATTTCAAGAGGAACGTTGCACTGTATTGCTCGGACCAAAATGATATCCACAACATCACACGGATCACTTCCAAACTCTCTCTACTGTTCTAAAAAATATCAAAAGACAACAAAAATAAAGAATGCCCAACAGCTATGTCCACAAAAAAGTCTATACTTTACATTTTGTTATATACATGGAAATATATGGACCATCAAAGAATAGTGTGTGGCTAAACAATATATATGTATATAAATAAAACTTGTACCGTAAACAAGTGAGAATTAAAAAAAAAGAAAAAAAAAAAAGCACTATTTCATATTTTCTCATTTCAATATTCAGCGTTGACCCCGCCAGTGAACACCTGTCACTGTTCCTCCAGCCAGGACGGCTTGTCGGCGCCGGGCGGCTTCAATTTGACGTTGAACTGCACCAGAGTTTGTTCCAGCTGCTGCTGGTTGCCGGCGAAGTAGGCCGAGATGGCGTTGTGGAACAGCAGCAGCTGCTTGTGCATCACTTTCACCTGCGACACAGCAGACGCCATCAAAAACATGACGCCCGGCGGTCCCTGCGCTCGATGGTGCTTGCTGGTTTAAATTTTTTTTCGGGGGGCTTTGTGACATGAGAAAAAAAAGACTTGTGTGAGTTGCAGACATTCCGTCAACGTACCTGTAATAATATCCGGCAAATAATTTAGGCCAATTTGTGACATAAAAATGCCATTCAAATGCTGACCACAATGATTGCCTTTTTAATACTTTGGCACCATCTAGTGGCATATCGGTGCCCTGCACCTACATTGAACTGAAGGGAGAAGCTTCATTGTCATTAGCCCCCTTAAAGTCACGCAGCTCAGATGTTGTTGTGACTTCTGCCTTATTCAGAGTATAGGAATTTTTTTTTTTTTTTTAAAGAGTAAACTCAAGGTAGCAGTGTAAATGGTGCAATTTTGTCATATAAGCGAAGCGGAGTGCAACAAACCTTGTTCTCCTCCAAGAACTTGAGCTTGATGGTGACGTCGCTGCGCAGCCGCTCGTATTTGTCCCGGTGCACTTGGTAGTCGTGCTGGGCCATGTCGATGCGGACCATGGCGGCGCTGTCCCTCGGGCCCAAACTCAGCTCTTCCAAGTCGGACCGGTAGGCGTCAAACTCCAACCTGAGCGGGCGCGCGGGGACGAAAACACCATCAAATGGAGGCCGTCACTTTGCAGGGAACCCACGCAGGAAGACCCCCAACCCAACATTTGGGTTACCTTGCATTTTCATAGTGCTTGATAGTCATCAGGGTATCCTCCATGGTTTTGTTGACCAAAGTGTCGATGCTGGACACAAAGAAGTTGATGGCGCCCAGCAGGGATTCGCCGTTCTTGCACAATAGCTTTTGAGTTTCCGCATTATACCCAAACTCGTCCTGACGGGAGGGTGGGAGACAAAAGTGCACATCCTTAACCGTTTCTCAACCACTGTGTAGTGAGAAATCATCAGGTGCGACGTAGCGAAATCAGCCAATGTCACGACAACTGGTCAGAAAATTCTTATTTCGGCCGATGAATGAAAAAAATTTCATCTATAATGACTAAAATAATTTCAAAACAAAGCGCATTTTCCAAAACATTCAGAAAACACGAACTGAAACATGACACTGATATCCACGGATTTGATCTTGATTGAGCAAAATGCGATTGTTGTTATGCTGATTGTTTCTTGTTTTGTGCATTGTGGCCATTTTTGTTTTATTTTTATTTACTCTCGTTTTTTTGGGGATTGTCAGTATCATCGTGTTTTGTTGTAATGTGTAAACTTATTCTACTGCCCTTATCCAAATCAAATAATTTCCATGGCATTATTTTTTTTTCCCCAAGGATATTTTTAGATGATTTTCAAATCAACATGACCACTGAAAGCGTGACACTGGAGTCGCGCTGTGGGCTACCTGCAGCTCGGGTGACTTCTGGCTGAGGTCGGTGAAGGTGTCACCGAGAGCCTGCTGTGTTTGCACCATGCTCTGGAAGTGGCTGGTGAGCGCCGTGGCCAGACGGAGGATGTTCTCGTACTTGCTCTTGGTGTCTCTCAGCAAGTCAATCTGAGCCTCCAGTTCCAGGTCAACCGTCCGCGAGCCTCGGCCGAAGCGCTCCGGGAACATCTGCTTCGTGCACTGGCATGGGTGTGGGGGGGACGGATGGTTGAAAAACAACTAAGGGAGCGCTCAGAGTTTAAATAAAATTACTTGAGCTCAGAGAGGTAAGGTGGGGCAAGGCCAAGATTTGGAAACAAATAATAGGATCTTAAAAAGAACTCGAACATGAGCCAGTGAATCGATGCTAGAGTAGGAATGATATGCTCCCTCTTTCGAGTAGCAGTCAAGAGGCGAGCAGCAGCATTTTGGACCAACTGGAGATGCCTAATGGAGGATTGGCTGACTCCGAAGTCAAGTGCATGACAGAAATCCAGCCGAGATGTGACAAGGGGCATGAGTGACTGTTTCAAAGTGCTCTTAATATTCTGAATTAAACTCAATTTCCTGCGGGCATAAACAGTATGCATCCAATTAGCGTGATGACCTGGACTGGCTCTCTGTGCAGTGGTATTGGAGGTACCGGTAGCATGCGCCCCAAACAGCAAAATGTCCAGCGATTACCTTATACGTGTTGATGCCCCATTTCTTCACACTGTCCAGCTTCTCCACTGCCACGCCACGGGATACTTCCTCAATCGCGTTGCAGGTGTTATGGTTTGAGGAGCCTTCCAAAAAGAAAAGAAAAAGGGGGCACTGACATAAAAGCGTTGACTGGCGTTATTCACGATGGACACGAGAGTCACGGCTATGAGTGAATGAGAAGATGGTGACTGACGGGCTTCAATGATGATACCTGAGAGCTGCTCGCTGCCGTGCTGCGCCAGTCGACCGGCAGCCGGCTGGCTGGTGGGCAAGCTAGCGGCCCGGGATTTCATGCGGATGTCTGTCATGGGCATGGGTGGGGGAGGGCGCAGGACGGCGAGGATGAGGAAGATGGGTGAGAAAAGCTTTGGATAACGAAAAGTGAAATGTGTCTTTTTGGGATCAGAGATTGAAGATATGGCCAGCATGCGTTTGTTTTTTTTTGTTCATGCGCTCAAGAAACATGGAAGAATGGAGTTAATGAGATGAAATGCAAACGGCAACGAGGACAGCCAGTCTTAATACTACCATACGATACAATCCAGTATTACAAATGCTCATAGTTGGTTAGTGCATCCTTTAACCCTCCTGTTATGTTTGTGTCTTCGGTCCACCACAAATGGCTAACCACTGTCGGGGTTTTTTTTTTTGTTTCGTTTTGTTTTTTGTGACGGTCCAGGTATGGCCTATGTATTCAGTCCATGTTTTATGCAACTATTTTTTTTTTCGTCATGTGTCCAATGCACAGATCGGCAGGTTTGTAAAGAGGTGCTCTGCCTCCATGACAGAAAATACAATTCGATCCCCGTAGGGCCATTCATTTGCAACCTGGACATAGTCTCAGATTCTCCACAGGTCTGCAATAAAGGAACGTAACAATATCCATGTCACAATATGATAATTATCACAACACTGTGAGGGAAGTTGGCAATTTAAAAAAAAAAAACAACTCATAATATTCTATCAAAACTCCTGATTTTCTAAAGAAGAAAAAATCAAACCTCCTATTTGGAGCACAATATTGTGTTTTTGTACATAACAGCGGTGGCAAAGAAACCGGATTGGCCAGTCGTTTTATTGTCAAATACGCCCTTGGAAAAAAAAACAAATCATAACATGAGGGCTAAGGCTCCAATATTTCCACTCAACTGTCAATGTAGGCATGCGAGCAAGGCTGCATACAAATCCTTTTGTCCAAATAGGAAAGTTTTCACAAAAAAAGGGCCCAAAAAAAAAAGAAGACTCAAAGGGTTAAAGTTGAGAAACATTGACAGAATGCACAGGCACCTGGTGCAGGCGCGGGGGCACGTCCTCTGTCCAAATATTCGGGGTTGAAACGAATGGCAGGCCCTATGAGATACGGTAATATAAAGCAGCAGCCTAGAGGTCAGCACGTGTACAGTGACGGTCAATCATAGTAATCATAAAGCCTCCATTGTTTCATGGCAACCACTTGCTGTCACTGAAAGCTATTTAAAAACTCTTCTGGGTTTATTGGTGGGGAATGAATCGCCCGTGCTATTGTGGTCACTACCTTTGATGGTGCTGGTTGGAATGATGCCCCCCGCTGGGCCCCCATAACCTCCTGAAACGATGCTGGTTTCATTCAGGTTGGGCCCCGACACCATCACCTGCTGCAAATCCTGAGCCACAAACAACAGAATTATCTTTATGATCATACACTGCGGACTCCACAAAGACCCAGTTGCCTTCTTGAACAAATAATCGCGTCATTTTTTTCTCACGACCATTAGTACCGCAGCCTACATATGAATACATGATGTGCTGTGGATAAAATGGCATCTGTAAAGCTGAAGTTGACGGGAGAGTTTAAAGAGAAAATTTAGTTGTGTAAGAAATTGGCCTAGCATTACAAAGAAGTACAATTAAGAAAAACTGATGCAGTGCAGCAGTGAAAAAAAGTGAACTCAACTATGTTTTATTAAACGAGTTTAGGAAACATTCCATCAAACAAGAAATCAACTGACCTGCTCCAGACTGTCATCTTCTGGCTGTGTCCCAGTGTCTCCATTGCTGTTAATGGGAATCTCCATCGTGGCTGCTTTGCTCATGATTCCCTCTGCCATGCCGAAATATCTGAGAAGACAATGAAAAATACGCTATTTTACATCGCAAGTACGACATCAACGAGCAGAGTTCGCTTACGTTGATGCTACGCCGATTGCTAAATGCAGCTGATGTGGCTTCTGGCTATGTGGCAGCCTAGCTTAAATCTGCCTCTCAGCTTGCTCGTGCAAAAAAAAAAAAAAATGTCAAACAGCGCGGAGGAACGCAATAAAATATTACCCTTGCGCAGGGAAAAAGCTCCAATTTGTCTACTTAATCAGATCAGTGCAACGTCACATCCATAGCTGCTGTTTACATGAGCTGCCTCGTTCTGTACAACTCATCCTGAAAATCCTTGCATCCAGCCAAGCAGCGGCTTTGACGCCACTTCACAATAAAAGTAATCCTATTTTAAAGATACGTCAGTCTATGTTTAAGTGTTTTTAATTCAATTCACATTTAATTAAAGAACTCATATGTGGTAATTATATTTATTTCAGGGTGTTGGCAATGTTCTGGAGGCGTATAACAAGAAGATATGCAAGTATTTTGAAAGAGCACCAATCTTGGAACCATTTCCGTCCTTCTGCTCCGTTGTCCACGTCGTGCAGTGCCCTACGTCACGTTCTCCCTAAACTGCAAGACTGTATTGTTTGCTGAGGGGGTCAGTGTTTCCCCATTAAATGTGGCGACAACGTCTCATAGCCTGGAATTCTTTGTTTTCTTTTTGATATGAAATAAACAAAGCAGTCTAAACGTGTATAATAGCAACTATTCTGAATATATTGGTTATTTAATTAATTAAAAAATATGTTTCATTGAAACATGTCAAAATTAGACATTTCTAACAATTCCAAAATGCTAATATCCGCAATACATTGTGATTAGAAAGGCAGTCATGTGTCCAGAATGTCTTCACGTCCCTGGAAGTAGAACTTACTGAACATCCAATGAGGTTAGTCCAAAATCATCCCAATGGGTTTTACAGCTCCTTGAGAGCATGTAAGTAAAGTGTCTTGATTGCTATCCACCCTGAGAGTAATTAATTACTGTACCTCCCCCGCCCCCCCAAAAAAACAACAACAAAAAAACATGCATGGTATATGTCAGGGATGGGCAACTCCGAACCTCGAGGGCCACTATGCTTCATATTATAGATGTTTCCCACCTCCAGCACACCTGATTCAAATGATCAGGAGCATTATCAGGCTCACATTGAAGACTTTAAACAGTTTTAAGTTGTGTATGTGAGTGTCCACAGTTGTTTGCCTATATGTGTCCTAAAATTGGCTGGTGACCAGGTCAGGGTGTACCACAACTCTCACCCAAAGTCAGCTGGGAAAAGTTCCAGCTCAGCCACGACCCTAATGAGGATAAACGGTATGAAAAATGGATAGCTGGACGATTAAATGGCCTATCTAACCATCAACTTCCAAGGGAATTGCAATTTTGGATTATTATTATGGTTATTATTATTATGATCATTATTGCGCCCCGCGTCTCTTGCTGATTGCAGTCCTCCTTACAGATAGGCCGATAGAGCCAAACTGTACTAATGTGCCTCATTTGTTTCAATCAAGGAAAGCAGAGGGAAGCGAGCACGGCTTCCAAATGTAGTCCAAGTGCTTAGAAAGAACATTTCCTGCAAGGGACATTTTTCCCAAACATACCGATGCTTGGTTTTACTAGTAGCTCCACCCCCGCCCGCCCGAGCCCGCTCTTCTTTGCTTTTGCACTATTCGACCATATTCCTTTGGGTCCAAAGAACTTATATGTCTGGGTGTTATTTTAAACAAAATGTAAAAAAATGTGCATGAGACTTCCCTGTGCTTCAAGTGGGGTCGGAGATCATTGCTGTCCAGATTTTTTATTTTTACACTCAACTGCTTCTTGTTAGCTGTCAAATCCATAAAAATGATTTGAAAAAAAATTACACGATGCAATGTATGTTCTTCTGCTGCAGAGCGCCTCATGCTGCGAGTGACCGCCCAGAGGTGCGATGTAAGCGAGAAGTTTGAGGGGGGGGCGGGGGCGGGGAATGAATAGAACATCTCAAATGAAAGAGCGATTATCCGTGCCTGAGTGACGACTTCTCCGCCTTGCCCTTGTGATAGCGCCTCCAAACCTCAAGGGTGTCTGTAGAAGTGCTCGTATGAATAATAATGAAAAAAAAAAGGTCAATTCAAAATAACTCGGCAATTGTGAGATTAAATCCCTTTTTCTGAGAACGCACACATAAAGCCGTTATGCACATTTATAAGTCGAGTACAGTGAGCAGGCAGGAAGTAAAATCGCACAAAGGAAGAAGGCAAATAATGTTGCTGTTGAGACTCACTTGAAGCTCAACATCCCAACGGTTGGCCAGTTGCTTTCGCCTTACTTTGAATAATTGAAAGGGTATGTTTTGACTTTGCGTCTTGGCGGAGAGACTGCCTCCATATCCTTGAGCCTCCCCCGCCCCCGACATACCTTTGACCTGTGCATTATTCACGGCCCACAAACTGTCCAGGTTTGACTCTTGTTTTGCTTTGCTTGGGAATGACTCGAAGTCACTTCCAAGCATCGGACTCAACAATCGGGGATATCAGGAAATCAATTTTTTTTTCTAGTTCTAGTTCCTTGCACGAATGAGGGGCGATTATGCTGATCAAACGCGTTAAATCCAGTGTAGAACATTCAGCTGCCTCTCGTCGCAAAATACAATTTTCCCTGGATAACACCAAGAGAAGAGGAGAGATTATGCAAATCCATGCAACGCAGCACACAAGGTCTTGGGACTATCACAGTAGCAGCTATCTTTCTTACTCGAACTTCAGGATAATACAGTTGTTTACAGTTAGCTGGAAGACAGACAATCCAGTTGACGTTGGATGATGAGATCATGACTCACTCAGTATCCACACCATATCTGTGGGTGAGAGTTAAGCCAGCAAATGCGCTTTGTAATGAATTTTGAACGAGGCCCATTGGAAAAAAAAAAAAAACACGGGACAAGTCCTCAGAGACCACACACAAACTCAATCTGATTAGTCATTCAGTTTGAAGCCTTTCAAAAGCCCACTGGACAACGCGGGTTTGTCGAATTGGCTCTGTAGCGCCCCCTGGAACGTGCTTGTGGATATTCTCATTCATCCAGGTGCTTTCATTGTCAGGGCATTGAATCGGACGCAAATGGACTGCTAAAAACAAATCTGGAGACATTTAGGAGTTCCCCCTAGTGGCGGAAATGTATAACGCAATACAAACACCCTTCGAAAAGGTTTCGTGTGATTCAACACGAAAGAACGACAAATATTAATCATCCCACTTGGCGGAAGACCGCTGTGGGAGCGGTACTGCAACTTTTATGAGATGAAATGTTTGGATGAGAGGCCAACGGAGAAAAGAGCCGGCAGACACAACTTTGTACAAACAATGCATCAAACCCGTCTGAGTGCCCTCCTCGCCTGCCAGGAGGATTTCTATTATTTACACAAGAGTCCTCAAACAAATGCGAGATATATGCGGCGTATTATTGCCACATGAAAAGCAAGCAAATAAGGCCCGACAACTATTTAGTAAATATGTCAGGTACAAGCTTGCGGAAGCGCTGCAAGAGTGCGCTTGGCTCGCTTTTCGGGCGCAGTTGGATGCGTTTGCCGAAACAGTAACTCAGCCTTATGATGATGAAGGGAAACATCCACACAAATGGCTGCGGAACGACCTCCCACCGGGCTCAAGAGCCAGTCATGAGGACAAAGCTATCGAGACCACCAAGTACCGCTTTGCAATCAGTTTTGGAGAGCCAACTATCACGTTGGAGCCTCAAAGCACCTCTTGACAAAATATGACCTGCGCAGCGTGAGAAGGCAATTTCACCAAGTACTTAATTATCAGTCTTTGGTTTTGCGACTTTCGTCTCGGTGGTCC